CTTCCGGAAGCCAATGGAGTTACCTCACTGTTAAACCGGAGAAGCAGACCCTTGCATTTCCCTCTCTACCCAGTACACAGCTGTCTGTTCAAATTTCCATTTAATATATTTTCATCAGCTTTTCTTAGCCTACTGTTCCAAAGCCATTCATTTAGCAAAAGACAGCAAATTGAACTTCAAAGATACTGTTTTGGGGGGAAAATACTTAAAATGTACGAAGTGTCTCTCTGTCTCTCAGTTATCTTTCCAGAACACACAAATAGGAAATGGATTGCTGGCGTTTAAGTATATAAATGTTAGAAAATAAAGAGGCTGTCCTTTTTATATACAAAAATGCCTGTGGAAGGTTTTCAAATGAATGGGTATGAACCAATAAGAGACAATATGCTCCTTTTGCCAGACAGCAGATAGATAAACTATTACAACCCACACCAGGTTCTGTGTGACAGAGAACCTGTGAAGCTCCTTTGGTGCCCGTTAACAAATTTCCTAATAAGCATTCAAAGTTACGAGAATTTAATTTGTGCTAGTTTAACTACTAGTCTGTTACTGCCTCATTTCTCAATATAACATTATTAACTAGAACATAATGCTTTCAAAGTTTAAGTTAATATTATATATATTATATATAAATATATATTCATAATTGAGATTTAATTATGTAATGGATTGTAAAGAATTTGTTTGGATACTTACAAATGCCTCTAACGCTATTATAGAGAAGAAATTAATATCTTTGTTTTCTTTTAAAAAACACATTGTTAAATCCAAATTCATTTTTACTGAAAAAATACTGTACATGTGTAAAATGTTCAGTTTTTATTTGTAAAATAGAGTAGTTCTGTTGTAATTGATACTGGCCAAAATCAATGTTATTCCATATTTTATTTTTTCTATTAAATTAACCTAAATTCCTGTTCCTTTGGTCTGGAAAAACATGTTGATAATCTTTACATATATAAAGCATTTCTACTGAAGGTCAAAAGTTGCTTTATGGTAAAGAGCACTTTGGACCCACATACAGGTCATTGCAGCAAATTGGGTGGGTAAGGGTGTTTGATTTTCTTGTTCGTGGCTATTTAGGAGCATCCTTACACAAGGGAGTGATTCCACTTGATTTAAATGGGCCTCAGCCCTTGAGTAACCGCTTCCTTACAAGTGGTCTAGAAGACAGTAACACCTGTGGGCCAAAGAAAAAGTTCTTACACATCAGCTAATACTGTTTTTAACAGGAAAACAGCTGAAAACATATAGTGTGCCCTACATGTGCAGAACACACGGGCAGAGCATCAGGAGAATCCCCTCTGTATGAAGGCATCATTTTATAAGTGGAAAATGTATTTCTTTAATGAGGGTCCAGCCATGTTTCCTTTCAATTTCCAGCCACAGTGCGGTGTTATGGGATCTGCAGCACAAAATCCTGCTGGGATGTGTCAGAGGGAGCCCCACAGTGCCCGTGGGCAGTT